CATGAGGAGATGTATAAACCCCGCCACTGCAGAATTTTGAGCTGTGCTGAAGGCGAGGCAACAAGCGTATGACTGGCTACGCGTAAGGAGCAAGTAACTTTCACTTGCACAGCACAGTTCAGTTCATAAAGGCGGGAGCTGTATGGAGTGCTCACTCCAAAAGGTGAACTGGTTTCGTCTGTTCTGCACACAATGAGGCTGCTTACCGAGGAAAAGATTGCTACGAAAATGATACAAGGTGAAGTTATAACTTATTGGCACCGGTGGATTTTTATATTTTTAATCTATCAGTTTTTATTTGCTCCACTGGCTCAGTCCGAAGGGAATACTATTCGATACCAAACCAGTGAGGAGGACGCACCAGGTACAGTCATTGGAAACCTTGCCAAGGACATGTCCTTGAGTCTGTCTCACTCCTCCAAGACCAATTTTAGGATGATGAAACAATTCAATGATTCATTCATCAGGGTAAGGGAAAGCGACGGGGAACTCGCTGTCGGAGAACGAATTGACAGGGAAAGAATCTGCAGACACACTCTACAGTGTCTCATTACTTTTGATGTGGTAAATTTCTCCAAAGATCGGTACAAATTGATTCACGTTGAGTTGGAAGTAAAAGACATCAATGACAACTCTCCGGAGTTTCCAAACAGGGAATCTATAGTGGAGATCTCAGAGAATGCAGCTGTGGGGTCCCGCATCCCTTTAGACCCAGCTGTGGACGCTGATGTCGGCTCAAACTACATTCAAAGCTATCAAATTTCTGTCAACAGTCATTTTACTATTGATGTGCTCCTGAGAGCGGATGGGGTTAAATATGCGGAATTGGTGCTAATGAAAGAGCTAGACAGGGAGTCTCAGTCATCATACACCGTGGACCTGGTCGCCACAGACGGAGGAAACCCAAGCAGATCGGGATCAACAAAGATAACAATCAGAGTCACTGACTTTAATGACAATAGTCCCGTTTTTGACCAGAACAGTTTCTCTGTCAGTTTGCCAGAAGACGCACCGATTGGCACTGTCATACTGGACTTAAACGCAGTTGATGCCGACGAGGGTTTAAACGGAGAGGTCGTCTACGGGTTCGGAAAACAGGTTTCTCCTGAGATCCGAGAACTTTTCCAAGTGGATAATAAATCAGGACGCCTGACGCTCAGGAGCCCGGTGGATTTTGAAGACAAAGGCACCTATGAGCTGGATGTGCAGGCGACTGATTTGGGAGCCAATCCGACCCCCTCCGTGTGCAAAATCATAATTCATGTCACAGACGTTAATGATAATGCTCCAGAAATTAGCATCACCCCCATGACCTCCATCGCGACAGGCATTGCATACATCAGTGAGACGGCAGACAAGGACAGTCTGGTGGCGCTGATCAGCACCTTGGACAGAGACTCGGGTGTTAACAGCCAGGTCCACTGCACATTATACGGCCACGACCATTTTAAACTCCGGCAGGCTTATGAGGACAGCTACATGATAGTTACAGCAGCAGCCCTAGACAGAGAGAGGATTAGTGAGTATAACTTGACGATAATGGCGGAGGATTTTGGGTCACCTCCGCTGAGAAAGATCACTCAATACACCATCAGACTTAGCGACGAGAATGACAACGCCCCTCACTTCACTAAGGCGGTCTACGAAGTTTCAGTGGTGGAGAACAATGCCCCTGGCGCTTACATCACCACAGTTGAGGCCAGGGACTCGGATCTAGGCAACAATGGCAAAATTACTTACAGACTTGTGGAGAGCGTTATCATGGGGTCCCCAGTGAATACCTTTGTGTCTCTTAATTCAGTGTCTGGCTCTATATATGCACTAAGAAGCTTTAATTATGAAATAATGAAGCAGCTAGACATACATATTCAAGCAAGTGATGGTGGGTCACCTCAGCTGCAGAGCACAGCTGTCATCAGACTAAAAATAGTTGATCAGAATGATAACCAACCTTCTATCATAGAGCCACCCCTTTATAAGGGATCAGCTGAGGTTTTCTTGCCCAAAGATGCACCTGTAGGTTATTTAGTAACCCAGATAAAGGCCACAGATGCTGATGAAGGCATAAATGCACATCTGTCCTATAAAATCACTGAAGGGGGACACCTGGGTTTCTCTATCAACAGAGACACAGGGAAGGTGCACGTGAGCCAGCAGCTGACGTATGAGCTCACAGACAATGTCAAAGTCACAGTGTCGGTCAGTGACAACGGAGCCCCTGCACTTACCTCCACAGCCATTATACACTTAAGTTTCATAGAGGGAACTCTACCCAGCTTGCCGTTCCTGGCTCAAAATGGCAGTGAGGAGCTCTTTGAATGGGACATGTCCATTGCCATAATCATTGTCCTGGCAGGGAGCTGCTCTCTCCTCCTGCTGGCTATCATTCTCATCACAACCATTTGCAGCCGCAGGAAAAAAGAGACAAGGGAGGGTGGGCATGAGGAAAAAGAAGACACACCAAAGGTGGAGAAAGTGGAAAGTGGTCATATTGATTCAGTGATTGCCAGCCACAGAGGCAAAGCGTTTGATGCCCACCCATTTCCGGAGAAACCTCCAGTGGCTAGCAACAATACGACAGAGATAAGCTGCGAGGATGGCGAACAGACAGCAGGCATCTTTGAGTCAAACAGCAGGGTGATGGAGAGTAAATTAAAGGTAAGTTATTTGAAGTTTGTCACATTCTATATTGGCTTTTGCATCTTGACTCAAACGAGAACTTGTGTTTTTTCAGGGTTATTCTACACTGCCAGGATATGGGAAAGAAAGTGTCAGACCAATAACAATATGGAAGGGTAATTCATTTACAACAATCTCAGCAAGAGAGCCCCACATCAGTGGCAAGGACAGCGGAAAAGGGGACAGTGACTTCAATGACAGTGACTCTGACATAAGCGGAGATGTACACAAAAAAGACTCGCCACCCACAAACAGTGAGTGTCATAACACCACACACACACAATACAGAAAATAGAAATTCAGAAAAAAAATCAGACTATGCAACAATGAAATCCACATGTATTCTTTTGTGCTCCTTATGTTGCACTTTAGATTTGAATTTAGTACAATATCTGTGCCATAGACCCAGTAAATTGTACCAACAATATTTTTTTTCCATTCCACTGGATACATGATGATTGATTTAACTTGGGCTCATTGGTTTCTTTCCACATCAAACACCCTTATCCAGATGAGGCAGCGACTGTGTCCATATCACATCCTGACAGCACTGCTGTTTTCCACAGGTCTCTGGGCATGTACAAGTGAGTGCAAAGTGCTGGGACACTCTGACCGATGCTGGAGCCCTTCAGCTGCAAGGCCCAACGTGAGCCTGGCCTGTGGACCGCATCTGTCAACGTTCTCCAAGACAGCTTCACTTCCCCGGGATACCAGAAGGGAAAACTACTACCCAACTCACATACCCAAAACCAACGGTCTGCAAAGTGTATATGAAAAAGTTCAACACCAGGAATTTGATTATATCCTTGTTGGTCCACCGACACCGGCCAGAATACAGGAAACAGATGAGATATCCATTCCTGAGTACACAAACTCTTAAATAGAAGATCAAAACGGATTTTGTCTTTAAATTGTACAGTACTTTTATCTTAATTGACTCTGTGTTGGATTGTTGAAGTGTTTTGTAGTATGTCGTGTCTTTTGGCTCATATAAGACTGTTCACTGTATCATGTGTAATATGCAAGATTTTGTACATGAATAATATATTTTTCATAACAATTCAATGTAGAGAATAATTTTATTATGAATTTTCAAGAGCATGTGTTACTATTTAAGGCGCATAACCTATGGACGTTTAGGCTGACAGGGGCCTTTCTGTTGTGGAAAACAATCAATATGAAAGATTATCGTTTGTGGTAGATTTTGTCATATTGTTGCACAAATAAACGGTTAAAAGCAATAAAGCACTTAGCTATCTGGGCATGCAGGACTCAAATGTAAGCTTATAGGCACAGTACGTCCTTTTGTCCTGAGGAACTAGTCATAAAGCACACAGAATAACCTCCGTTAGCCAGCTGAATGCATTTCATTTGCCTTAAAGGTTTAAAAGCCACAGTAAGTTAAATGGTCCTCCAACAATCACAGCTAAAGTTTTAGCAGGCATAAGCCAATGTCATATTCTTTTTATGGTACACAATGTTACCCTGCAGCCTAAAGTCTGCAAGTATGACATTTCTAATCAAATGCTCCTACAATTATATATTTTTCAAAGGACAGAGGATCCCCTGAATGTTTCCAATTGCCTCCAAGCTTACAAATTATCCCCAAAAAACTGTGGTTCAATCTGTTTCCAAGCAACAGCAGTACCACACATTTGAATCGCTGTTTCTTTTTAAGTTACAATAAGGACTGAGTAACCTTGACCACAAAACTACCTTTTTCACACTGTCAAATCCTAAGCTTCCTAATTAAGGAAAGTGCAATATCATACATATTGAACTGACCTGCATATTGTAGGATACTGCATGGATATGAAGACCCATTTCTGCATACAAGTTTAGTGTAGTCTGTTAATTCGTGCTGGCACCTGTGAACAGCCTAAAGGAAATTCTTGTACTCATGAATTTGTACAACCCATCATGATTGGCATTAGATTTTTGGAGGTTAATCATATAAAGATAAAGTGTTTTTAAAAAGGCTCATTGAAAACAAATATTCACTGACTGAAAAGTTAGACAACAGTCTTTCTAACTAGCACTGCATCGCTACCTGTAATACCAACCAATTTCTGGGGAGCTCAGAACTGTTTCAGAAGCTTTTGGCACCACATGATGGCCATCTTGTCTTAGACAACCTGGCCCTACAGGTAACATTCAGATGAAGAATTTAGCTCAAAGAATTTATATCAAGTGCACGTCATTCACACTCAAACATCAAATAGGTTAGGCTCTAGTGCATAACCTGATTCTCCAGCAAGAAGCAACAGAACCAAAGAAGGACATCATGAGAGAGACTTTGGAAAAAGTCCAAAAGACCACTCATGGATATACCTGTTTTGAACACAGTTTGGTAAGAAATACAATTTATATCGTTGACAAACTAGACTGTAAAATCTGAAGGCTTCCAGGAATGTCACTCTTGTCCAGATCATTGTTCAGTGTTTGTCATTTCTTACTTTGCTCACTCTGAACTTTAAGGGATGAAGCACATCCAGCACGACGCCGACATCCCTTACAGTCAGCCGCCTCCTGCGATTTAGAGCTGTGGTTCTTATTGTTGGTGCTGTGTTAATGCTGTGTGCATCCATGGCTGCTCTCTACGTGTGGAAAGTCAGTGATAAAAATGTAAGTGTCCACAAAGGACTATGCTGCAGTTATTACAGTGCCCCTTCAATAACAAACATCCAAGGAGGAGGAAGTGGATCCAAAGATTACAAACCTCCCCTAATGTTGACTTTTATAATAAATGTTAATGACCGAGATGCCTTATCATCATAATTCAGACAGTGAAATTGCATTTTTAATTCTGTTTAGAATAGATACAAACTATATGAATTGTTCCTGTAACTTCACTTCATCTTACAAGAAACAGTGTAATGATTGTGCTCTAATGAGCTCACCTGTAAGGCAAACATCCCCATCTACAACATGTCCTGTGGTGCTTTGCTCAAGTACTCAGCGTACTCAGACTGCACTGGAGCTCTGCAAAAAAAAAGAAACAACAAACAATTAATGTGCAGGGGAAAGCATAAGTGATATGAAGCTTGTTTTTTTCTGTATCTCATTTCTATTGTGTTTGCTACAGTGTGATTTACATAATTTGGCTAATCACTAGTCATTTTAATGTCTCTCTTTGAATTCTGCCAGGTTTGTAATGTTCGTTACACTGTGAACATCAATGGGGAGACGAGGGAAGGCTCTGTGGAAATTGATTCTGACAACAACCTGGAGAAATTTAAAACTGGGAGGGGAGCTGAGGAAGCTTTGGAGATTCATGACTTTCAAATTGTGAGTATGTCCTTGTTCTCTCTTCCTGAGGTAGTTCAACTGAGGCTTGGTTTTTTTTTTTGTAGCAAAGCTGTAAGTGTAAACATGGCATCTCTGTGATTTGGTGCAGGGAATAACTGGAATCCGCTTCTTTGGAGGAGACAAGTGCTATATAAAATCCCAAATCAAAGCCAACCTTCCACACATGGGAGCTCACAACAAAAAATCGCTGATGCTTGACCTGGTATATGCACACGGCTTGATACAGAATGTTGCAAACTGGAGAGAGAAAAACAAATGGCAGTGTTAAAGGCAAACAGATGATCTTCCCACTGCTTTTAACACTGTAAATTCCTTTTCTATCTGAGTAATTCAAGGACATTATCTTGTTTGTTTGTTTGTTTATTGTCAGACAGATGAATTAATGCCAGTGAGCTTTGATGGGGAGTTCCTTATATGGGTTGCAGGAGGGCAGCCACTGAAGGACACCAGTTTTCTGAACAACAACATTCTTGGTCTTTGTGGAGAACTACCCATTTACTGGCTCCAGCCTACTTATACCAAAGGTCGCCTTCTTCTCTTCTTTTGATCTAATATATATATACACTCACTCCATCCCAGTACATAGTACAAAAATTCTGAGCTTTAGGACTCACTACTATGGCATTTCAAGTGAATTGTTACACATTTCTTAATAGTTTATTCAAATCTTGGTTGTGAATGCCCTGCTTATCTGCCCACACACTTGTAAAATGTACAACCTTGTCTGAGAACTTGGTGAAATACTTGAACATCTTGAACATACACTACATTTAGAGTCATACACCAAAAAAAGGTTCTAGTCTTGTATTAAAAAAGAATGATCTTGAAATATGCAAGACTGCCTGATATCACTGCTGGTAACTGAATAATTCAGTACATCTGAGGCAGCCCCAGCTATGTAGGATTGAGCTCTGAGGACATGTATGGCATCTTGTGGATGTTGACCCAGTACTCTTGCCTCCTGGGGCTGTTACAACAGATGGGGAGAGGAGAAAGAGAGACACACAGTGAGCCAAACGGCAGTTTAACGTGGAGTCTGAGGCTGATGCTGCTGAGGAGAGGGACCCGGTGAGTCATGCGGAGGATGACACCTTCAGAGTTGAGGAACAAGAGGAGGGTGCGCAGTCATTGGCAGGGTCAGCATACGATCCCGAAAACCCTTATCATGTGAGTACCAACTTCATCAACCACAGTGTTTATGATAAACAAGACTTTTAGAGCTAGTGAATTTCTAACAAACTGTCAGGAAGTATATACTGAGCCCTGAAGCAACCCCTAACGTAACATTATAAACTGAGGGTTCTCTGTTTTGTCAACAGTTTTATGGATGACTACATAACTCTACCATTAGGTTGCCAGGCTTGTTAAAAATGTATTCTCACACAAATAAAAAATGTGTTAACCTGGATTTAGTCTTTGTGTCAGCTGTGGGGCAATATACACTGCTGCTGTGGCCATTGAGTATGTGTCATATTAATGTCTATAATTACAGGTCACTAGGGTAACAGCTGCCACTCCAAGTTGATGAAATTATGAGCTGAACTGAAAATTCCCAGTGGTTATAAAAATTAATCACGTGTTCAGGAGGATCTGAAAGTTTTGAAAACATTTGAATTGCAAATGCGTATAAATTTTAAAAAGATCAACATCGCTTTAAACCTGCAGCACAGCAGAGGGACCGGAGAGGAAGGCACCATGACCTTTGACGCCATGTTAGACCATCAGGGGATCTGCTGCTCTGAATGCCAACGTAGCTACACTCACTGTCAGAGAATCTGCGAGCCTCTACATGGCTACTGGCCTTGGCCTTACAACTACAGGGGGTGTCAGGTAGCTTGGCGAATCATTATGCCTTGTCACTGGTGGGTGACACGCATCTTAGGTTATGTGTAAGAAAACAAGTAACATTTGTGAGGCAACACATTTCTTCCCCCAAAGAGCTAAAAGATTTCTGAATGGTTAACTTATACTTTTATATCTATATTGTGGAGTGTATATAGGACGGTCAAGCTACAGCTCCCAGAAGTGAGGCTGCGACGATTTAATTGCCCCCTGGTGGCTGGTTGCAGTATAGGTCATAAATCCAACTCCTCCATGTTAGTGGATGGGACATGAGCCAAACTAAAAACTCAAAGTACAAACCAAGTAAAATTTAATGATATTATTGCACCAATTTATGTACAAGTGGTCATTTCTTTAGTAAGTTTGTTTTTAATAAGTTACTTGATAGAAAGAGGTGTATTTCAGTTGATTTGATAGCTTTGACTGGTGGTCCGATGCTGTCACGCCACCTCAGGTCACTACTTTGCAGGATCTGGTTGCGAAAAAAGCCGCCATATTCACAATATGTTGGCTTCACTTCTGCATAGTGGAGGGAAGTGGTGTTGCAACGTTCATCTTATATACAGTCAGTGTCGTATATGTATAGGTTGACTGCATACACATACTACCAGAAAGCCATAACATCAAATGCAGATCATAATGTATGGTTATACATACTATATTACCTACAGTATACTAACTGTGACACATTTTCATCCAAATAGATTATGTATAAGCTTTACATAAAAGCAGGTGCTTTCTTTTTGTAGGCATCTGCTGCCTCTTTATATAGAGTAAATACCTAAATACCATATTCCCATTTGAACAACAGATTCACAAATGAATACATTCATTTTTGGATCATGTAGTTTCAAGGCTTAATGCACTATACAGTGTTCAACGGCAGGTATGGGACTGAATCCAAAGGCTCAGCAGATCATGTACCTTTTTCTAACTGAACAGGCTTCAATAAATTCTAATCACCGTATACGCTGGCTTTGATGCAGCTGTGTTTTAGTGTGTGTGTGTGTGTGTGTGCCACATGTTGTTTCCAGTGATGCACTCATTGCTTTTCTGATAAAACTGAAGTGACAGCAAGGGTTGCCATAACTCCCATTCACAGCTCGGAATCTGTCTGAGGGCAACACAATTTGTGCACACTGACATCTGCACTGATGTGAACTAATGTGAAATGAGTGTCATGGCAATGATGGAAAATGTTTCCATAAAAGTGACATTTTCATTAAATAAATAAATGTTTTTTTTTCTATAAAAATAAGAGTGTTGATGCTAAACAACCAAATAACATAATCACAGTGACAGTTGTTTCGCACAGCTGTTATTGGGGCTTGTGGGTAGGCTATTCTGAATTGCTCAAATCAAAAGAAATCAGATTACTATCTCTAAAGCCATATGCCAACTTTCTAAATAATTGAAAGGAGTCATGTTGCGATCAAGATGATTTCATGGAGGGTGATCCAAGCACATCAAATTGCAACAGATGTGAAATTGCACCACGTCTCTGCTAAAACCGCATTGAAACTCTGATGCAGTCTGTTGAAACAACGCAAAGAGATGCTTGTCTCTTTGCTTGGAGATCTTTCCTGGTTTTCATGGGGGTAGAGGTGCTTATCACATCTGCAGTGCTGATAAGGCGGCCTCTGTGCTTCCGTAGCCTATATAATATTAATCCCTCTCCCACGTCTGCAGATGCACTTAAAGGAAGGTGACAAGCATGACATATCCAGGACCTCCCGATGGCTCGTGCTCTGGAGTGCAGCCGCTAAAAGAGCCCCAAGTACCCTCAAGTGATGTAAATTTGCAGGGGGAGTCCAATTTCCATCACAGCGCTGTCACTGCCATGGTCATTAAACTAAATCATCCTGCTGTGTGTCACACAGCTCCCATTTTAAAGTCCCCTTAATAATAGAGTTATACTTGGTCTGCAGATTGCGGCACACTGGTAAATGTCTGACCTGACAGCAGCCATAAGAATATCCTGCACATTATTTCATCTTTAGAAATCACAGACACTGTATATGTGCATGAGAGATACATTAAAAATATAAATTAACTGACAGACATTTCAGTACCTCAGTTGCACTAGCTGCAGTTCAACAGGATTTTATATAATCTCCAAAGTTGGTAACTGTGGCTGGAATTTAAATATGATGTGCTGTGCGCCTGTTGCTGGTGGCACTTTCCTTGGATTTCACTCAGAATATGTTGATACAGCAGCACAAGACAAAACATTCTGAGTCTAAGCTAGACAAAAGGCGATGGAAAACACAAAGTAAAAAGAATAAAACATATCACCACAAGCAACAACTCAAGATGGCATTTAAACTGAGAAAAAATACAAAGCCCAGAACAACAGCAGTTTTGTTTTCCCGAGGCCCTGTTTCTTAAAAAACTTCTTTCCTTTTGCCATTCCTTTCCCAAGAAGAGAAATGTATTCCCATTGAGCAGAGAAGTCAAATGTGTTGGAGAGCAGCTTCAGTGTGTGACACAGTGGTGCCTTTTTGTTTTGTCTCCTCCTCTGGAGCCAAGCTTACCCCGGGAGCCCTGCAGGCCAGAGAACAAACAGAGCTTTGTGAGCACTGACCCACTGTGCCCAGCAGCCAGGCTGCAAACCTTCACTCCTGTGCTAATAGGAAACCGCAGATGAGGAGTCCGCAGCAGCTGAGGGAGGGGAGCTTTCTCGCATCCACCTGTGCTTTCATCATCGCCCAAAGCAAGCACGGGCAGGCAGGGCGCAGTGGTGTTCTGGTGGCCGCCTACCAAAAGCTTTTCCACCAACATCCTCTTGGCAACAAGAGAATATATTGGGTATACCTTAGCTGGTGATTCATGATGTGGCATGGACTCGCCTTAATCAAGCCCATGCACTCACAAGTGCTTCCTACAAATGCATCAATACGCTGTCATAAATTTGTGTACAGTTGCCCAAGAGGCATTAGAAGTGTGAATAGAAGTGCGAAGTGAACCACTCTAGTAAACATGTCCTACATTTGATTGCATGTTTTCCATTACATTTAGACATGAATGAAATAAACAGTAGTGACAGTCCATTTCGCACCTTAACCAGAACACAGAAATCCTTTTAGGCTATCTCATTATGTTTTTCTGCAAGTAAACACTGCAATACACTTACAGATGCTGGTGCCATAAAAAAAAGAGGGTGAGAGAGAAACTGTAACTTGTGCAATGGCAAGAACAACCCCAGAAAGAAAATGTGTCTTTTTTTTGAATGGTGAGAAATAACATGGCTCAACAAAGGAAGTCTGGGGAGAGGGAGGGGGTGATTGGGGTGGTTGGTACAAGGCTTAAATGGTTTTTAATCCCATGGTTGAGTGACCACTTGCAGCTCTGCCCAGCAGTCTGACTCTGCCTCCATTTGCAGGTTTCTCTGAAGTTTCTTTGCCAGTGGCTGGAGTGTCTGCTTCACTATCTCTCTCTCAGCTTCCTATTTAGTATGCAAGCCCCAAATGGCCATTGATTAAATGCCTGCTGGTATTGTATAAGGAACTCTGTCTTGTTTATTTTGCTAAGTTAAAACTGTATATATTGTCTATAGACCTACCTGCATTCAGTGAATTACACTTTCAGTGTAATGAAATATTATAGCAATTCTCCTGGGCGACTCAGTTATTCTGCACACACTGCAGTGACTTTATTTTCTGTGTATTGCATTTGGTTGCATGGTAGCCTTGTTACACTCAGATA